CTTAAATTTCAAAATAAGTGGTTGTAAGAGTGTCATTGAATAGACACAAAGTTCTAAACAAAAATTTCTCGAACTTAGTGACTCACCTCAGACCATCATCTAATGAGTGAGAATGATTATGATATCTATGTACAAAAGATAAATGGTCTCTTTATAGACAATCCATATATATATATATATATATATATGGAGGTCAAGATGATCAATTGGAAAAAAATTTAGTGACAGAACAACTTTTTTCGATAAGTTTTTGAGGTGCACCTTACTTCTACAATATAAGGTTGACACCTTATATACACTTTTTCCATTGAGGTATGATCTCATAGGGGAAGCCAAGAGAGCCGTATAAATGTTTCCATTTTAGCCCTTTTTTTTCATGGGTACGCATTTTTCATTCATGGCGTCCATCTCTTGTTCATTATCTATCTTCCCCTAATATTTCAAACAAAGGTCTAAGACATACTCATGGATTAAATCAAGCTATGGTAGAATAAAAAACGCACTAGTGAATTATGGGATAAAAAAAGGTTAATTACATAAAAACTCTAATGCAATGAGAAAACTGACCAATTCCGTCCTATAGTCAAGGGGAAGATTCGAGAACAAAGACTTTGCACAAAAAAACATTAAATGATTGTGAGGCACTACCCTAAGGATTTGGCAGGCATAGTTGCAATTGTTAGTAAGCATGTGTTTGTTTTGACATCGCTTGAAGTGGCCAAAAGGTGGAAGTCACGAGATTAATGCCCCTCTAAAATGGGATTCCATGTGCAAAGTGTAATGGAGATTTGAAACCCTAGAAAAAGTCACATGCCAATGCACTCAACCTCAATAATGCCTTAAAAAAGGTAGCTGTTGCTATTCAAACCACCTTTTTTTCATAAAATTATTTGAGTGTTTTGAAAACCTGGAACTAGAACTGCACGGTTCGAACGGGAACTGGGGTGCGAATCCTTGAATAACCCGATTCCCCTTGTTTCCGGATTTTCATTTCTAGTTATTTCCAATGATGATCCAACTCGTTGAACCTGTCCGAATAGCTGATCTGAACTTGTATGAAGGGGACCTGTTCAGAACCTTATTTTGGGTTTTAAAACAAGTAGTGGCTCTCGGCAACGGGTTGGGCTTGGGTCGAGGCACCCCTGACCCTAGTCCTCTAACCGGACCAAAAGGCCCATGGCCCAAGCTTGGCTCTTTTCCTAGCCCTATCAAGGCAAGGCCAGGCCTTGGCCCTTGCCGTAGCCCAGCCCGACTGGTCCTATCCTCGGATCGTGGTTGTGCAGCCTTGACCAAATCCTCAGGTCACATTTTATAGCCCAAGCTCTAGTTTTTTAAGGCTGAGCCGAAATTGCAAGAGCACCTAGCTGCCCATTGCCGCCCCTATAGTTGTCTTTCACTCGTCTTTTGTGCTCTTTTTTTTTGTGTGCCTAATGTACCATACAATTCCTAAACATGAATTTTGTTTTTTTTTTTGAAAAGGTAATTGAATAGGGGAGAGACAGGCCCTACCTAGGAAAGGGGTTGGTCATGGTGATAACACTCCCATACCTAGTTATCACATTGTGATTTTCAATATGCTAACATCATCTATTGACACCTTAAAAACACCTAACTCCCTATTCTATGAAAAAAAAAGTCGACAGGGTTTATCTTCCCTACCGAATTACAAAAAAAAAAAAAAAAAAAANAAAAAAAAGAAAAAAAAATAAAAGAAAACC